GCCTTAGAGAAGTCGATGTAAACGGAGTCCACTTGCTGACGCTTCTCGATGCTACCTATAAGAGTGTTCGTGTAAGTCATCAAGTTAGAGACTGTCGATCGTTTTTTCATGAATCCATGCTGAAACTCTGAGATTATGGGTTGAACAGCTGGATACAACTTCTCATGCAGAAGACTTTCGAGATCTTTGGCCAAGGCAGTTCAGGATCGAGATAGGTCGGTAATTTTCCACTATGTGCATGTTACCGGACTTGAAGATTGGTGTAATTGAGGCGAGCTTCCAGGCATTCGAAAAAACGCCATCCTTAAGCGATCGATTGAAAATAGACATAACGGGAGTGGCCAACGATGCTGCACAGTTCTTGACAAAAGACGGTGGAATACGGTCCGGGCCTGGACCTTTCGATGGATCGACTGAGCGAAGGGCTTTGAGATTAGCGCCTTGACTGAAGATGAGCTGCTGCAGGTGAATGTCGTATCTTGGTAGCTGATCAATGTATTGCTGCGGTAGAGGAGTTTGATCGGGTTCAAAAACACTTTGGAAAAAGTCAGCGAAAAGGTCAACAGAAGCGGTGTCGGTGGTGGAGCTTCTACTACCGTAGGTGACGTCCACGGGAATACCAGCTGATCTTTTCCGAGAGTTGATAAAAGACCAGAACGACGATGGATTTTCCTTGAAACCCCTCTGGAGGTTGTCGACGTACTCACGAAAGCGAGCTTCCTGCAAACTATTATACTCTGCTTCTACTAGCTGCACCGTATACTTGTTTGCTGCGGTCCGGGAACGAAAGTAACGTTTTCGAACTTTACGCAGACGGTTACGCAGATTACGCAATTGCGGATTCCACCAAGGTTGTTGGAATTGCAAACAAGATTTTCGTGTCTTCACCGGAACAGTATCTTGGATTACTTTATAGATGTTGTCGTAGAATACGGAGAAGGCGGCATCAATGGTGGGTTGGTCAAGTATTTGTACCCAATCTAAGGTGGCAATCCTCGTGTTAACAACATCGAAATCACATTGTGCAAAATTATACTCACTGTTTCAAAATGGTTTCAAACCACTTGACAGTTCTAAAATTTGAAACCGTCAAACATGGAACTGCAACACGATCAGCGCAACGCACAGTTTTAAAAGGTAACTGGTATTCATCCCTACATACCGTATGCGTGATAATGTTTGCACCATCGTACAAATAAGGTTCCCGTTTCACTTGTGCATACAATGCCTTGGTTTTCTTTGCATGCACGTAACCTATAGCTCATACCGTAGTAGGCTGTGTATAAAAAAATAATGATTTACTTAGTTTGACAGTTGCACCATGACGAAGTGGCAGTGTATTCGTGATTTGTCCCACGCACAAATTTCGCAAAACGATATTTCAATCGAGTGTCCTGGTGGACCGTCAAAAGGGTTTTAGACCGAGAAAAGAAAGGACAACTATCCGCGAAGGTGGCCACAGGTCGTCCGAGGTCAGCTCGGGTTCCGAGGGTTATCGCTGCTATCAAAAGGAAGATTCGGGTGAATCCAGTGCGTTCAATAAGGAAAATGGCAAAGGAACACGGGATCAGTGACTTTACGGCACGGAAGATCGTAAAGGAAGATTGCGAGGCGAAGGCACGGAAAAAAACTCACATGATTACCAACCGCATCCGGGAAATTCCTTAAGCGAAAAAATCACGGGGCGCAAGCGGGGACACACGTATTGGCTTCGGAAGGATCAAAAATAAATACGCACGGCACTTCACGGAAGAACAGACGAAACTTTACTATTGTTGTTGTTATGTACACATTAAACATTTAGTGTTGCCAGAAGGGCCGTCATGCACATATAAGTGCCATAAAAGTTTATGTATGGTGAGGGGTAACACAATGTAAATACCTTCAACTTCAAGCAGCACTTGAGCGAATACCAGCATGATTTCATGGCAGGGCGGTCAACTACTTCCAACCTTCTGTGTCTCACCTCGTACATTACGGACAGTATGACAGACCATATGCAAACAGATGTCATCTTCACTGACCTATCAGCCGCCTTCGACAAGTTGAACCGTCCTATAGCGATTGCCAAACTGGATAGGCTCGGTATAAACGGCAGGCTCCTACGATGGTTCGCATCCTATCTATCTGATCGTCAGTTGGAAGTTGCAATCGACGACTGCCGATCTCGTTCGTTCCCTGCCACTTCGGGTATTCCGCAAGGTAGCCACCTCGGCCCGTTGCCTCGGTGGTCCTCGACGGTCCACGACTGTCGTTCGCAGACGACATGAAAATCTATCTCCGAATCCGAGCCATCGCTGACTGCCACCTTATCAGACAAATACGTTTCTGGTTCTTTGAACCATCAAGAGGTGCTACTTTCGACTTGGCGGCCAATACAATAATCTACGACAATCTTCTCGTCGGTCGAAAGATGCTGGTAGGCCTTCTCAGAGGCGTCCCAGAGGCCGTGTATTTCAATTGATACTTGAACGGAGGTGGGTGCGCCCACCTAGGAATGATGATCGTTGCTCGTCCATGGAGTAAAATGCCCACTTATAGAAAAAAACAACGAAAACTTTTCCTCAGATGCATTTTCCGGGTAACGGATTGTGTTTGTTTTCAACTGGTGGTTTCACAAATAATTCCTGATCAAAAAATCATATGTTGACCTACTGATTCCTTAAAAATAATGCATTTTGTGCAAAACATGACACAGTTGTTAAAATCATCAACTGCAAATTAAGCTTTTAACAGAATATATCGCAAAATAATTGAACGAATTCACTTGTCGTATATTATTTATAAGTTTTTCTTCATGAATCACTTTATTGAGACCTTATTTCTGATGTAACTTAAAGGAATAATATATTTTTTTTTTTATTAAATTTATTAATTTTTTTAAATTAAAATTAAAATGCCCCATCTCTTTGCATTATCTACTTGCAGGGGTTATGGTTTGTCTATCATGCGGTGCATTTTACCCCAATGTTGTGGTGCGTCTTGCCTCAATGTTGTGGTGCATTTTGCACCACGAATCAGGCGTTTTGCCCCACTATCATTTTGGAACCGATTTATAAAACACCTTGTGAAAAATCATCGTTTTTAGTTCGAAATCACTCGATATTTGACGATTTTGCTTAAACTGTTGCGGAGCTTCAATCAATGCTGTTGTTGGAACTCGTGTAATGGTTCGCCAGAGATATTGGACGAAGATTTTATCCTATCACCGGGCCAATCAACCCGAAAAATTTTGCTGTGTCTGACGGCTCGGTTCGTCTTGTGATTGTGCTCGTTGTTGTTGAACCATTTGGCAACGGTGTAAAGTGGAGCAAATCCGTCGAGGGAGCCCCTCTTGAGGACTTCGGTTGGTTCGACGATGAGTGTCAAGAACGCACCAAAATGCGGAGCGATACAAACGGAGGCGATGATAACAAATTAATCTTTTTCTGGAAAGATTTAGAGTGTGAAGAAACGGATCAGCTGTATTGTTCTCAAAAGACGTATCAGTTCTACAAGAAATGCAACGCGGGTTGCAAAAACTTTGTTACGAGTCGAAATGTGTCGGGATAAGGATGGAAGTATCTTGACGGAGTCAGCTACAGAAACAACACTGTGCACAACACAATTATCAGGATAAATCGCATTTCTATTATAACACCCGAAAATTTCTTTCGTCTGATTTTCTCTGACATCTTCCCTTGAGAGATTTACTAATATGTATGTATATCCGATGCAAAAATTAGCCTCACCTGAATGGAAAACGTGATAAGCCGTTTCGTCACATGGGTGCGTTTGGACCATTGTCATCTTTGAACGAATACTTTATCAGCAAGATACCAACGCGATGTGAAACTTATCTGTCACGTAGGTCAAGGTATGCAAACTTCCATTCCAGTAAATCATTTGAGCAAAGCAAAGTATTTGTTAATGTCGTTGTGGATAGTAAAAGGTAATCAAATTGGTGTTTTAACCGCACCAATAAAATTACAATGAAGTTACGGCCATGTCAAACGTACGAGTCATGCACATGTTTATACACCCACACCGTACAGTTGGAATCAGCTGATTTGCTGTAATTAAACAAATATCATGGACAGCAGAGTGGCGCAGTGGAAGCGTGCTGGGCCCATAACCCAGAGGTCCGTAGATCGAAACTACGCTCTGCTAGAGAAGTTTTTTTTTTACTTTGTGATATTAATTTGTGAATGAAATATGCTTTATTCCGATTTGTATAGAGTTAAGAATAATGATTTGAAAAACTTAAAAGCGATGTTTAGCAAAAACAAAAAACAGCTTAGTGATAGATAATACAGAGATTTTTTTTTTAAAGATACGAATGTGTGGAAATTGTACAAAAAACTACCTCTAATGTGACCCTTTGGAACAGTCTTGAATTCTTATTTGTCATTGTATAATTGTTTTGATTGTATGATTTACATTAGCATAAATCTAGTTCTGAAGTCATTGTGAAGAGTGTGGTGGGTGTTGCCGTTCACCCACACCTTGTTCTCGGCTGTCCTTCAAACAATTAGGTTTATTTTTGGTAGGTGACTATTTTTTGGATGATTCTAAACACATACAAAAAATTACCCAAGTCGATTGGAAATCAGCTGAGAAATGGCGGTGCGTAGACGGCACCACCCACTGTGCTCTTCGGGGGATTTGTGTACAATCTAATTGGGCAAAATTCGGATTACTTCCATTCTTCTTCATATTGTACAGCCTCGTTGAAAGGTAATGGAAAAATTGATTACACTAAAATTATAACATGTTTGAATGTCAATTTGAGCCGTCGGAAATCTGTATGCTAAAGAGTGTGAGATTCTACGCTGGGCGTAAAACCTCATTTGACATTGCCAAGAATTTAATCCCTAAACGGTGTGCTCCTTTTTCACATCCTACACATGCGATATGTGGCAGAGTACCTTCAAGGCACTATTGGAACAGCATTTCGTTAACTATTGTTACAGCGTGCGGCCTTTTTATCACGAGCCTTAACTCGTACCGAGCAGTCTATTTACAGTGAGATTCCCTGCAGCAAGCGTTGTCTAGTCTTCCTTCTCCGTGTTTTGCATGCAAAGGAAAAGTTTTGCACAAACGGTGTTAATTCGCTGGGATGTCTGGGCTAGCCAGTCCAATGGTTTGTGGATGGTTATGTAGTACACCGGAATACCCAGGACGATGATCAGGGTGCCGATGGCGACTTCGATTGGCGATTCGAAGACGGAGAATATAACCAGGAATCCGGCCGTCAGAAGGAAGATGAAGGGTATGACTAAGGACACCTGAAAAGGGGGACATTCAGTTAGATTCCCAGGTCGGTTGAAATGATTCACAAAAAGTTCTTACTTTAATTGGTCGCTTGGCATCAGGTTGCTTCTTACGGAGCCTCAGCAATCCGGCAACAGAAATAAAGATAAACAGAATCTCGACGTAGCTCACATAGTTGATGATCGAAAAGACGTCCCGAATGAATAGAAGGAGCAAGGTCAGGATGCACTGCAATGGGTTGAAAAGGTATTTGATGAGTTCGATTTGAAAAATCATTCAGTTGTGTAAATTGTAAGTTGGATATCATCCAATTTAAACATTTGCCAATGATCGTAGAATATCTCATGAACTTGACCAAACCGAAGCTTGTTGCTATCTGAAAGGATGTTCCTAACCTATTTGACCAACAAATCTGGCAGCAATAGCTTTCTATTTAACGTCAGGATCATGAAATACGATCAAGAAATCCAGACCAACAATTGAAAAAGGCGGAACAACCAACCGTAACGAATGGCTTTAAACGCGAATTTCTTGAGAATCAAAACACACCCTCGCAAACTAACAATGCCATTCGATAACGAAAGTTTGCTCTATCTGATGCTGCCGTGACTGTTTGAATGTGTTTTAATTCTCGAGAAATTTGCTTTTAAAGCCATTATTTACGTTTGGTTGTTCTGCCTATGTAAATTGTTGGTCTAGAAATGATGTCAAAATTCCACTCAAGTGCAATAGTACAGGGTTGTGACCACTGATTGCGCTATAAATAATGTTTTTCGGAATTATGAACTCAAAAGATGTTAAAATGATATTTTGTACTTGTAAGCTACTAGAAGAGGTAGTAAAGTATGTGATTCACTCATAATTCATGTCAATTTCGCTTTCAGAGAGTTACAATAAGCGATTTTATGATTCGTGCGCGTTCAGAGCCAAGGGGGACGACTCTATCATATGCTGAGTAGATAGAAATAAGATGTGTGATTTAGATGTGACGCCCCCTCGCTCAGAGTGAGCGCTCACAAATCATAAAATCGCAGATCGCAACCTTCTTAACAGTGCTGCAGAATCTCGACCATACACGGCAATATTGACAAAACAGCTTTGGTCACTCATTCGAGCTAAAAGTCATCTTCCAAGGATTTCATTTCAATTTTTCAGTTTTTCTTATTAACTCATTTTGTAACGAAATTAAATGACGTGAGCAAAAAAAATCTATGGAGCCGTTAAAATGAACAAGCATGTATGCCCTTAACTGCCTGGATAACAACAATGTGACGAAGAATACTCGAAATTAAACCTTTTGTTACCAGGTGAATCTTTTTCATTGACGAAATGATGAATGGGATTTGGACGAACGTTTTTTTGAGAATCACTTCTTCCAGTGACGATGTCACCAAAAATGATCACGTGAAGTCTTTTAGTGACAATGACAAACCTCAGTACTGCTTCATGCAAAACTGACAGTGTTATATTGTAAAACACATGCTTTACGACCTCGTCTTGTAATTTACAAGAACAATATAAGTATCATTATAAAATCTAATGATCTCATAATTCCAAAAAATATTGTTATAGCGAAGCGAGTCGAAGCAACACTGGCGATAGATCATCATTTACCAGGAAGATCAACGATGGGATCGGCGTAAGGCAGTGGATATTGATGAGCGAAATTGCTGCTGGAAGATGTCCGTTGCGGGCTCCCACGAAGAACAATCGAGAGGACGCAAAGATAGCACCGTTGAGCGATCCGAACGTAGAACAGGCCACGAACAGGGGCATAATCCACGCCATGAAACCGAGCATTTTTTCCGCAAATGTTACCTGAAATTCAGTAAAATTAAATTGTGTAGAACTGACATTAATTGGAAACTTTTACTTACCGCCACAGCTTGAGATGAAAGCATTACATCTGGTGGAAGAACGGCGAAATATGCAATATTTGTGATAACATAGATAATTATCACTGCAGGCATACTGATACAGATGGCTCGAGGCAAATTTCTAAAATTAGATAATCAACTTTACAGCACTTGTTTGAACACCGCGGAATGCCTTCCTTACCGGTAGGGGTCCTTCAGTTCCTCCGTGACAAAATTCAAATAGTTCCACCCAGAGTATGAAAACAATCCATTATAGAACGCTAACGCAATGAATCCCGGTTGCACTTTGGAATTCTCGAATGGATTCTCCAGCAGCTCCGTGTTCCCATTGAACAGATACCATGCACCGGCAGCCACAATCACCAGCAGGGCTCCGACCTTCATCCCGGTAAATGTCTCCGTTACCCGTGTCACCCATTTCACATTGTAGCAGTTGATAGCAGTAAGAAGACCTGATCAAAAAAAAAAAGTGTGAATTTTATATGAGTGAGTTCAAACGAGCAGTAATTTTAGCGACCATCGCACCCCAATAAATGATACCTACAAGTGATGAGAGCGGCCAACAGCCGAACCGACTCGTACGGCGGTTCACAAGAGGGCCACAGAGGCTGCAGCAGATACTGGGCAAACGTGATGGCAGTGATGGCATTGCCAGCCGGGACCAGAATCAGCAGTGCGACCCATAGGTACAGGAAGGCTGGCAGTGGTCCGAATGCTTCGCCGATGTACGCATAATCACCACCGGACTTGGGTATCATGGTACCTGTTGAGAAAGACGGAGAAAGAAAGGTATGATCTTTTTTTCGAGCCCGGTTATGAATGCAACATGTAATCACGCAAATTATTTACGAAACCGGTTAGATGTTGCCGGTTGAAGATAAGATGCTTCTGATGTAAAAAAAAGTGCCAAGGCAAAAGTGTTTCGATTTCGGCTGCACACTTTAAAATTTGCAGTTGTTCATGCGAATCAAAATATATTTCGTTTAAATTAACTAATTTAAACTTTTCGAAGCAATATCAAACTACTGTCAACTCTCCATAACTTGATATTGAAAAGACCATTGAGTTATAGAATTTTCTACTTATAGAATAAGGCAATTTTTTATCGTCTATAATTTCAAGAATAATACTGAAATACTAAATTCATTGGAATATCTGGATTTATATACTGATGTGAATTCGATTAATGTTTTAAAAATCGATTTAAAGGGTGATACGGTCAAAATTTGGTCAAGGGAAAACGCGTGTAAATCGGTGAAATCGTTTATTTAAAAAATCAAATTAAATTTCTTCTTCAAGTTCAATTAGTATAAAATTCAGGAAAAATATTCAGTTAGGCTTCCGCTTTTCCAAATCCGAATTGCCGGGCCTTACGCTTGACCCCTGCCATCAGATTTTGTACAGCCACCTTGTCCACCTTCTTCGCCGCAGAAAGCCAGTTTGCCTTGAACTGCTGCTCGCCCTTAGCAGTTTTTTTGGTCTTCTTTAGGTTCCGCTTGACAATAGCCCAGTATTTCTCAATTGGGCGGAGCTCTGGCGTGTTGGGAGGGTTCTTGTCCTTGGGAACCACCTGCACGTTGTTGGCGGCGTACCACTCCATGGCCTTTTTACCGTAATGGCAAGATGCCAAATCCGGCCAAAACAGTACGGAACAACCGTGTTTCTTCAGGAAAGGCAGCAGACGTTTATTCAAACACTCTTTCACGTAAATTTCTTGGTTGACAGTCCCGGAAGCTATGAAAATGCTGCTTTTCAAGCCACAGGTACAGATGGCTTGCCAAACCAGATATTTCTTTGCGAACTTTGACAGTTTCATGTGCTTGAAAACATCTGCTACCTTTCCCCTTCCTTTTGCCGTATAAAACTCCTGTCCCGGAAGCTGCTTGTAGTCGGCTTTGACGTAGGTTTCGTCGTCCATTACCACGCAGTCAAACTTCGTCAGCATCGTCGTGTACAGCCTCCGGGATCGCGCTTTGGCCGTCGTATTTTGTTTATCATCGCGATTTGGAGTCACTACCTTCTTGTAAGTCGATAGTCCGGCTCGTTTTTTGGCTCGATGCACGGTTGTAGACGATACACCCAGCTTATTTGCGGCATCTCGGAGAGAGAGGTTAGGGTTTCGCTTGAAACTACCGGCAACTCTCTTTGTCGTCTCAGCGGCTTCCGGTTTTCGATTTCCCCCCGATCCAGACTTCCTGGCTGTCGACAAACGTTCCCCAAACACTTTAATTACATTTGTAACGGTTGATTTGGCAACTTTTAGCGATTTTGCCAACTTTGCGTGCGAGTAGCTCGGATTTTCGCGATGCGCGAGCAAAATTTTGATACGCTGCTCTTCTTGCTTGGACGGCATTTTGACAACTGAAGAGTGAATTCCAAAATCAAAATAGGAGCAACATTCTACACACACACACCTTCAAAATGAGGGGTGTTCAGGTTTTTTAAATGCAAAATTGAAAGAAATACGTCAAGTTGATATTGACCAAATTTTGACCGTATCTTTATGGAAGTTCTGAATAGTTAATTTATAATATTAAGTCAATGTTTTATATTTTTTAAAGTGGTCTACCACCCATTGTAGCACAGAAATTAACTCTGATAGCAGTGGGCGTTCTGGTATGTTTGTCTTGATCAAGCTTAGTAACCTGTGATTGTCCTCAAAGATTTATAATGTTAAGCCAATATACAATATGGTCATTTCTGGATGTGGCACTATCGCCTTGATGGTGTCCTGCAATTAGGCCAAATGGTCACAAATCTAGACTTACATACAGTTTTTTTGTTTATTAATTTATTTGATAAGGCTCAATCGAATTAACTTTACAAAGCCGAGGATTCTTGTTCACTATACAATACATTTTAAAGCTATAGTCAAAAGGTACAACACAATAAACATTTTATCTTCCGCTATCCAATAAGCCTCCTCCACCAGAACGGGAGCCGCTTCCAGTGGTTTCATTGTACGCCAACGGGGGTCAGAGCGCTTCCATTGCAGTAATGGACGCAAAACGTGGCCAGCACTCACACATTCATCACGAAACGGTTTTCCAAAGTCGACGACGCATCGACTGAAAGAACTGCTGATGAAGAACAATGAGGAGGACTGCACAATTGTTGCTGCCGAGTAATCAGACGATCGCGTAACACACATCGAGAGTGGCCTGCTTATGTCGACAGCCGAGTGAACACTGGCTTAAATGCATGTTGACGAGCTTCCTTACACAGTTATATTTTAAAGATTTTAAACACTTAGATGTTTGTTCTGACTATTTGAACGTTCCAGATTCTTGGCAATTTCTCCGGTTCCAGAATATTTTAAAATTAAACTACATATTTATACAATACGATAATAATAGCACAAGTAATCTACTAATGAGTTTTCAGAGTATATGCTACTAAATATTACCCTACCGATGCACACGCTATTCTGAATCTACCCAGTGACTGGGTGGATGGCACCTATTTTTGTATCCAGTTGTCAAAATCAGGGTAAACTAGTTTTGTTCTGATGAGTAGAATCTACCTAGATTATGGGTTAATAGATTAATCGAAATTTTTCCAAAGTAAAAATGGCGCAGGTATAAAAGGGAGATTGTTGCGCTGCCAGTGAATGATTTAATCTAAATCTGATGCTAAATAAAATACAGATATAGAACTGTTTTCATGTCAAATGCAGCTATAGCTAGTAAGTATATTGTTAGTTTCTGGACATTGAACATTCTCCTTACTCTAGGTTATCGAGATATTCTGTGACACTTTTTTCGATGCCAAATGTTTGTTGTTGTTCCTAATTTATAGAATTCATTTAAATTCAAATCTCAATTAATGGTTAGCATTTGTAACAGTATCATTTTGTGGGTATTTCAATGTCGTATTCCATAGTAATATATTTTTCCGACAATACGACCTCAACAATCAATAACAGGCTAGAGGAGTCGGGTGAGATTATGTTTGATAGAGCTACTGCAGCGGTCATATCAACTAATTTCTATTAAAATGGGTAAAGTTAACCCTGTTATCAAATGTCAACATCTTAGTAACCGTTACCCAGTTTCTGTCGCAGGTACGTTTACCCAGATTTGGGTAAATGCATGTTTACCCATTTTTGGGCAGGTTCGTTTTTGACCGATATGGGCGGATTCTACCCGAATTTTGGTAGTTTTGAAATAGTGTGTACACATTTTTTAAGTGAATCGTTGCGCTATCGTCCGATTCGATTATGGAATGGTTGCTATGATGAGTTTGCATCGTTTGCTCTCCAGTTTTCAAAATGACGTCCAAGCAAGAGCAGCAGCGTGTCAAAATTTTACTCGCGCAGCAAGAGAATCCGACGTTCTCACATGCCAAGTTGGCAAAATTGCTGAATGTGGCCAAATCGAACGTGCCAAACGTTTTAAAAGTGTTCGGGAGAGCGTCTGTCGACCGCCAGGAAGCCTGGAAGCGGGGGAAATCGTAATCCGGACGTGGCAGCGACGACGAAGAATGAGGCGGTGAAATATAAGCGGAACCAAGCGGCAAGCTCAATGTCTCCCATATTACTGTGCAGCGGGCCAAGAAACGAGTCGGGTTGTCGACGTTTAAGAAGGTGAAGGTGGCGAACCGAGATTACAAACAAAACACGTCGGCAAAGTAGCGGTCCCGAAACCGGATCAGAAAGGCATAACAAAATTATAATAACTGGAGTTATTTATTTAAGAGAAAAATGTCACAGAACGTGTTTTAAACATTGGCTGGTTAGTTGTTAAAATAACAAAAATCATAACAAAATTCGTCTAGTGGTAACAACATTATAACAGATCTTGATATGGTTAAATCAAAATTATTTCAAAATTAGATGTAAGGGGCTGTTCATAAACTACGAAGACAGTTTAGGGGGGGTTGGCAATCATCCACGGCCCTTTCAAATTTAATTTTTTTTCTATGGACAATTGTCTACGCAGGGGGGGGGGTCAAGAATTAAAAAACGGTCTACGTAGTTAATGAACAGCCCCTAATCTATCGCATTCAAAAATATACATATATAACAACCGTTGTTGTAAATTAGATATAAAATATGCCATATTTCTGGCAATTTTTTTTTTCTTGATTTGTTTTTCCGTCGATCTTGTTTTCCGTGCTTAGCACCAATGCTAACGACGTCAGAGAGGCAGCCCTACACCTGAACCCTACCTATCGACCCATCACTCATGGACCAACGGCTTTACTTCCCTTCCGAAGGAAGGCGTGATCAGAGATGTTATGCCTCAGAACATCCCGGCGGCGCCGACTGGGATTGAACCCAGGCCTGCTGGGGTTAGAGGTAATCACGCTTACCACTACACCACCGGCGCCGCTGTATTTCTGGTAATGGTTGTCATTTATTTTTCACTTTTTTTTTGAATTCCTTTGGTGATGGAATTTCATTCATCATCTGGTTCAGAAGCAGTAGGCTGCCAATCTATTTCGGATCGCGGTCGGTAAAGTTTTCTGATGACGAATCAGAAAAATCGGAAGATTTTATACAAGCAGAATTCTTTGAAGGATACGATGAACGATGTTCTAGATCGGTATTTATTATCTTATTAATTCAAGGTAGACAAGACTGAGAACATCCTATCTTTTTTTCAGGAGCCTTCGAGTTACGATCAATGGGCAAAATTTCATGACAACATTCGTGTCAAATACATAATGTTTATTGCACTGAATTTTTACATAAGGCCCAAGCTTACCCAAGGAGGTTTGGAAGACTTTATGAAAATGTTAAATGTTTTCACGATAGGCAAA